AAAAAAAAAAAAAAAAAAAAAAAAAAAAAAAAAGCTGGCTAGATTGCTTAAAATAATAAAATGATGTCATTACATGAAAATATAAAATATTAAAGTTCGGAATTTATGTAGGTTGCTTCGTTGGATATGTTAATAACTTAATAAGCCTAAGTAAATATTGGGAACTATGCAGACAAAGATACACGAGATCAATGTTAATTAATTTAGGCTAATAATTAAATTGGGTCAGGAATATCATGCAAAATACAGAGGAGAGAGAACATCATTAACGGAAACTTATCCAACCATTAATTATAAAATATAACTAAAACCCTTAAATTCTCTCCATATAGATTCTCTCCATTTTATAAGCTTTATAATTTTAATAAAATATAATAAGAAAAAAAATCAGCCATGAGATCATCCCCAACATGATTAACCAAGTTTTACTTGTAGTTGTAATTATTCCCGTCTAAAATTTATGCAGCATAGCATTATTTCAACGATCAGAATCTGATTGTACCAAAAATAAGGAGTATTTTCACGTTAGTTCTAAATTATTTTTTATTTCTAAGATTGTTTTTAAATAAACTTTTAATTCAAAATAATAAATATATAAAATAATTTTATAATTATCTGTCGATTTAAATTAATAAAATAAAATATTAAATAATTTTAAAATTTTTTAAAAAATTTGTTAACTTAATTTATACATAAAAAACTTTTAGTTTAACAGTTGGATCATTAAATTTAATTTAAAATATGAGTTATTGAGTGAAATAAGTATAATATATAAGATTTACTCTTAGAGTAAGTAAATCTCTTTTCATGTAACTTAAATATGTCAAAAATTGAATAATTACAATATTTGAGAGACTAAAATCACATAATTATAGTACTTGATGAACTAAAATTATTTAACTAAAAATTAAGAGACCAAAATTGCACATCTACAACTCTTGAGCGACTAAAATCAACTACTATACTTTAAATACAAACATCTGATGCAAGTTAAAGAATAAGGACATTTTTTATGAGAGATTATTTAGAGGTTTTTTTTTTAACTTCTTATCTAACTCGATTTTATTTATTATAATTATTTATGAATTAAAATTTAATATTCTAAAATGAATTATCAATAAATAAAAATAATATTATACTACGATCTAAAATTATTTATCATAAATCTGAAATATAATTTATACATTAGTATAAAAAAATATAATTATTTATATATTTAAATATAATAT